AAAAAAAAAAAAAAAAAAAAAAAAAAGCCGAAGAAGAGGTTGGGGAATACATTTCCCCTTCCTCTGGATCTAAACTACATTGATCCTCATTTCCGGCAACACTTGTACAACTTGGGAGAGGCCGTCTTCATCCTCGTTTGTCGCAGGGGTAAGCGAGAGCGGTACGCGACACATGCACGCACTTGTGCAAGTGCACAACTGCGCTTACTTGTACCTGTATGTACACGCCCGTGTGTGGGCTTTTTTTTTTTTTTTTTTTTTTTTTTTGTGCCCGGCCAAGTTTAGATGGTTTCACGCTAGTGGGCAGTTCAAATGGGGCACAAGAATGCAGATTGCTTCAGCGCCCTTTTGTGGAAAAGGGACTTGAGGCTACAGAAGCGTTGCTTCGGCGAATTCAGCCGCGGAGCATTCAGCTGTTGAACACGTTGAGGATAAATATTTTTTGTTTAGGGGGCCCAGCGAAACGCCCCCGCAGAGCGGTCAAAGAAGTTGCTACTTACACCGCTTCACGCGACGGACGAGCGACATGGCGGAAGGCGACGTGGGTGGGTCCCCCCCGCGCGACCTGCTGGATCGGTACAAAAACAAGTACCGCAAAATAGACCTCGACAAGGCAAAGGGCATCTTGCAGGAGCACTTTGGCATTGCGGAGTTCAAAGAAAAGCAAATGGAGTGTCTAAACGCAATTAAAAACTTTGAACATGTGCTTAATATCATGCCAACAGGAGGAGGAAAATCACTCATATACCAAGTAACCCCATTACTAATAGAAGGAATAAGCATAGTGATAAGTCCGTTAATCTCCCTTATGCATGACCAAACAAAGTCCCTGCGGACAAAAAATATAGTTGCAGAAACGATTAATAGCTCCCACAATAAAAAAGAAAATGAAAAAATCTTGAACCTTCTTAAGGACTTTAATAATTGTGATATAAAGGTTTTGTACATAACCCCAGAGACAGCCACTAGTGATAATTTTATGCTAATATTGAAGGAGCTTTACATGCATGAAAAGATTTCTTTAATATCCATTGACGAGGTACATTGCATAAGCACTTGGGGGTGCGACTTTAGGAAGAGCTATCGCAATTTAAGCAAAGTGTTGAAGGCGTGTCCCTACGTGCGCGTGTACACCTGCACGGCCACCGCCACCAAGTGCGTGGAGAGGGACATCATAGTGAACCTGAACTTAGATGGACGCTGCGCGGAGGAGGTGGCCAGCAGGAGGGAGCAGACTAATTATCAAGTGAATGGCCTGGCGAGCGATAAGCAGCTTCATATACTTAGGGACGCCCCACGCAAGAGCAAGCCGAACGAGGGGGGCACCCTCAACTCTCTCCGAATCGTACGCACGTCGTTCAACAGACCCAACCTCAAGTACGTCATCGTGTACAGTGATTTGATCAACACAGAAAAAAAAAAAAGCATTTTTCACATCATCCAGGAGAAAAGAAATGTGGACAAAATAGGTATCATATATTGTTTTAAAAGGAACACCTGCGATGAAATTTCAAAGTACTTAAGACAGCAGGGATTCCAAGCGTTGAGTTACCATGCTGGATTGAGCAACAGCGCAAGGAAGAGAATACAAGAAAAGTGGGTCAACGGAAATGCAAAAATTTTAGTGGCTACTATAGCCTTTGGAATGGGTATCGACAGGAAGGATGTGTCTTTTATTATTCATTTTAATTTGCCCACGTCAATTGAAAATTATTATCAAGAGTCAGGGCGTTCTGGAAGAAACGGAAGCGTGTCCTTCTGTTACTTATACTATTGTAGGGAGGATGTACAGAAGCTGTCCTACATCATTCGAAGCAAATACGCAAATGTGGACATGGGGGACCTCACCCTGCAGAAGAAGTACGAGCAGGAAATATACAACCTCCAGTGCATGCACAACTTGTGTGTTCAGGAGAAGTGCGTGCGTTCACAGATCCTGGCCCACTTTGGAGAGCACTCGGTCCCGAAGGGGGGTATCGGTAGCGGTAGCGGCGGTGGTAGCGGTAGTGGTAGTGGACATGGCGACGACGACGACTACTGCTGCTCGTACTGCTCCGACGTGAAAGGCTCGAAGAACAAAATCGAGCGAGTCATGGAAATGTACCAAGGGGCACCCTGCAACATCCAGTCCAATGACAACATAACGAGTATAAACCACGTGAACTCCTTCACCAGCGTCGTCCACAAGAGGAAGCATGAGCTAAGTGACTACTCCGAGTCGGACAAGGAACCTGAGCTAGGTCAGTATAAATTATCAAACAAAAAGATTAAAGGATTTGTTCCCTTCCAGAGTGCATCATCCATAATTCCGAAGGAAATTCGAGACAAGGGCATCATTGAAGTTATGAAGGAGCTGGAGAAGAGGGAAGAGCTCATGGGGCACAAGCTAGACAAAAGGGAAGCGCTCATGGGGAGCAAGCTAGACAGAACGGAAGGGCTCATGGGGAGCCAGCTAGACAGAAGGGAGGGGCTCATGGGAAACACGCTGGAGGAGCGAGCCCCGAAAATCGGGAAGATGTTGCATTCCATTTCCCACTTCACTAACGTGAAAAAGAACCCCGTGTTTTCGTCCTTTAAGGTTCCTCGCAGGTTGTGAGCGCGGCGCGCATACACCACGTGCGTATTGTACAAACGAATAATTTACACCCCTATCCGCGCGCGCATATGTGGCCCCCTGACAAAATTCTCACAACACTTTATGGGCACCACGAATGGTATGTCCTCCCGTCGGAAGTGTTCACAAACTCTTGTGGTCATGCATACGTGCATGTGCGATAATGTGCCAGTATGTCCCCCTACAGGGGTCCTCCTACTTGTGCAGGAGAAAAGTTTGCCGCCCAAACGGTTAAAATGGCAAACAAGAAATATATATAAATTTTCAGTGTGTACTCTAAAAATATACACCTGTAAAATATTTGTTTTAGTAAAAAAAAAAAAAAAAAAAATTAATTTCCGCCACACGGTCATCTCATCACCTACACAACAACGGCATCGTTTGCCCCTTCATTTTTGTGTACGTTTCCATCCCCTCTTTTTCGTGAAGAAGGGAGGGGTGGGAAAGCGTCACACAAATGACCAAGTAGGCGCAGATGAACCAAGTCCGCACCCTGCACAAGTAACGAGAATATATGAAGGTGTTCATGCGTCTGTGTATTCACCAACTAGTATCATCACGCAGGTGCCAACGTGCTGCGTATGTTTATTTTTTCCCCCCCCCAAAAAATATCCATCATACTGGGCGCCAGTAGAGATAAACTTCCAAACGAATCACCTACGGAGGACTCGCTAAAGGAGTAATATGTGTTCGGCCCATATGCGGTGTGGTGTGACAGCGCATGAGTTGTCCACTTGGCCAAAACCGGCCCGAACTGTTCACAATTTTTCTCCACCCATTGACACTGCTCGCACACGATTGGGGCATGTGTGGTAAGCCCACCATTCAGCAGAAGCTGTATTTGCAGAAAAGATAAGCAGACCAGCGGGGCCGCTAACAAGCGTTTCTGCAAAGTGGAACACCAATGGGAAGATCAGTACATCAGCCTTTCGGCAGATTGGCAGATTGGCAGATGGACGACTTGCGAATTGGTTAATGGGAAATTTGCAAATGTGCAAATTGAATATTCCATCGCTAGTTAAAAAAAAAAAAAAAAAAAAAAAAAAAATGTGCTTCATGTCCAAGCAGCCGTCTACGCGCGCAATTTTTGCTAGAACAAAAAATTTCCAGACCATTTCCCTCCGCGTTTGCGCCCCAGGCAAGACACTCGACATGGTGAATTTGATCAATCGGTGTGAAGACAAGAATTTTGCAAATTAAAAATTCGAAACATCTATTTTGTTTTGTGACGAAAATAAAAAAAAAAAAGGGGCCTCCCATAATCGCCGTTTTTTTCTTCACTCGAGTAGGACATATTTAAAAAAAAAAAAAAAAAAATGTTGGTGTGCACGCGAAACCGTTGTTCTGGTTGGCGCGCCCGTCGTTGTGGTCAAAAGGAGGAACAAAACAGGAGAAGTGGATAGGGAACAATTCGAGGGCATTTCGCCAGTGAACTTTTCGTGTCAATCGCGCGTTGCCCCACTTATGTAACACCAACGTTTGCAACAGCTTTGGTAGTAACAACTATTTTGTTAGCCTCTTAGCTTTTAACTTTTAACTTTTAAATTTCCATTTTAATTTGAAATTTCATTTTAATTTTTTTTTTTTTTTTTTTTAAGCAGCCAAATGGCGAGTGGCTAGCTGGGGAACAATTTTTAAAATTCCCCTCCGCGCTGCTCACGTTCTACATGTGTGAAATTTTCTCCGTTGCGCCGCTTAACCGCTTTGTTGTGGATTTTTATCCACACAGGACGGTTATTTCGCTTCATCTGTCCGATTGTGTGCACTGTTGCAGTCAACTTGCGCCTCTTTCTTCATATCGGTAAAAATATTGGCCAAGCTATTGGATGTGCAAATTATCATGTCTTTAACCGTTTTTAAGTCTCCCTTAATTTTGTTCATTTAGCGCACCGTTCGGGGTGCACATCTCTCCTTCCAGTGCGGTCAGCAAGAGCGAGTAAGGAAGACCACGGGCGCAGCAGTTGCTGGCCAAGTCATTAACACAACCACTAATCGACTAACCGGCTGACGGTCTAACCTGCTAAATCACCCTCAACGAGATGTTTTTCTTTCGCCGGGGAAAAAAAGACGAATCGGACAAGGAGACCCTACGAAGCTACAAAGTCCAGGGGGCTAAAAAGGAGCCCGTGGTTAAATTGAGGCCCAAAGACAAAACAGAAAAAAATGCCAACAAGGAGAAAAAAAGCCCCCTCAAATTTAAGGCCGCCGTACCCCCGAAAAATAAGAAAAAGAAGAAATCCGTTTTTAGCTTCTCGAGATTCAATTTTTTCGGAGGGTCCAAAAGAAAGAGGACTCCCAGAAAGACACAAAGGAGCCCCAAGAAGGAGGAGTCCCCACAGGGGACGGATGTGAAGGGGATCATCAAAAAGTTCCAGGTGTCCAAGCCAGCATCGCCGGACGCCGTGAAAGGAGCACCGAAGGGGAAAGCCAATGTGCCTAGAAGAACCAGCGTCACAGAAGCTGACATTAAAACGAGCGACCTTCAAACCGCGCCAATCGAAAATGAAGAACTGCTTGAATTCCTAACGGAGGAGGAAAGAAAATCGATCGAGGTGGTTACCCTACTAGATGGATCTTCCAAAAGTGACAGCTTCGAGAAAAACAAAAATGGCAACGATGATGACGCGGCCGAGAAGGAAGTCCCCGCAAAGGTGAAGTCTGCCCATTCAGTTAAGAAACAAAAGAGTGATATAAAAAAACTGAGTCAGAATAAAAACCTTCTAATGAAAAAGTCGAACCTTTTGGAAGAGAGTCGTCAAGTGGAGAAGAAGAAAAGTTACCCCCCAAAAAACAAACAAGATGAGAAGGACCTCGTTATTACTGCAAAAGCAGATGCAGACCCAGGAAAGGAAATGCAAACAAAAAAAACCACCTTAAAGAATATCATAAAAATGCCACTCTCTTTTGCATCTAGGAGTTTCAAAAGTGGCGTTCCAGCGACAAAGGAATCAGCCAAATTAGGGATAGGGGGAAATGAAAGACAGGAAGGGGTGGCCGCAGGGACGGAGGAAGGTGGACTCAAGTTGAAGGACAATAATGATTCGATCCACCTGCAAGGAGACCAGGATAAGGGTGATGTCTCCCCCGGCGAAGAGATTGACGCCAAGTCGGAAGACACCAACAACAGCGGGAACATGAGCTTTAAGAATTTTATTCCCAATTTTAACCTAACCAGTAAAAAAAATGCCGCGCTCAAATCGAACAAAAAAAACGCCACTCCAATGATTAGCAGTAAGCTCAAAATGAACAAACGAAATAGCAGCATAGGAAGCAGCATAGGAAGCAGCATAGGAAGCAGCATTGGAGGAAGCATTGGAGGCAACATCGGAAGCAACAGCGGAAGCAACAGTGGAGGCAGCATTGGAAGCACCTCCGACCAAGAGGATACTCCAAATGATTCCAAAGCAGAAGAAACCCTTACGCGCCAGGACATACGACAGAAGAAGAGTAATCTTGTAAGACGTGCTAAACTCATGGAGAAGAATCTACAAAGGAGCAAAGAGGCGCCACAGAAAATTGAGGCAAAGAATATACAGCGTAAAATGACAAAGGACATTGTTGAAGGGGGCGATGTTCCCTTCAACCTACAACCGCCCCTTTTACTCACCGAAAATTCCTTCGACATATGGTAAGTCCTCCCGCATGCCATTATTCCAATAACGTTACATTATGTGTTTAAACTGTGAGCATCCTAGGATGGATACACACCCTGTCGCGTACGCTACCTCGGTGCACGCTACTTTGGTGTCATCCCCCTAGAACAAAAATAATAAAATAAGGCAAAAACATCTTTTTCCTTTTTCCTGACCACAGCCCATTATCACCTATCGAGGACATCATAGATGTTATTCATTCAATTTACAATAACTACAAAGAGGAAGCAATTGCGAAGCTGAAAATGTCCAAGGAAAACAACGAGAAGGTAAGGATGGAAATAAAGATCGCGGGAGACACAACAAAAAATTTTTGTTTTTTCTGCGCATTTGCATGGGGACTTTGCAACGGTCGGACGAGGACAGAAGACCCCCCACACATGCATACCAACCGATCGTTACACACATACTCCTTCAACATTTCTCCCCCCATGGTGCAGTGTTCCAGTATGCTAAAGCTAAGCTTGGATAAGCTAAACGGGCCCGAGGATTCCGTCATTGCTAATTTGACCAAGAACATGTAAGACATATTGGGGAAAAGCTAATCGCTCATTAGTCAAGCAGGAAGTAGTAACCCCCCCCTCTAATTCGTGTGCGCTGTCAGGAAAGAACCGCTTGCACCAAATGGTTGCTGCTCTCCCTATTAAAATGCCATTCTAAACACATGGCAAACATTTTCCCCTACTCTGTAGGTCCCTGCAACGGGATTATTTGGTCGAAGTGAATGAAGTTATGAGGGCAGTTAGTGAAGATTAAGGGCTGGTGCGAATATGGCATATAATACCCACATCAAATTGGAGCGCAGGTTAGAAGGAGTACTCTCCCCCTACCCAGGTAGGGCTCGGTCGGGTCGACAAATGACACAAAACGGGGTCAACGGAAAAAAAAAAGAAAAAAAAAAAAAAGAAGACAAACTGAGTCGAGCTAGCCCAACTAAGGTACGTTACGCCACAAAGGGGCGATAAAATTTCAGTTAGCACAAATTAGAGATGCGCCAGCCAAACATGTACAGGGTTCCCCCAGTGGGGTAGTTTTATATAAATACGAAGAATTAAAATAGAATACTGTGCGGCACATGCGTAGGCGCATATAACTGGGCCTCTTATCCCCGCGCGTTTTCTACTCTCCTAATAATTTTTGATGTACTCCTGCTGCAACTTGTAGTCAGCCAGGGGTAGGTCCAGACAGCCGGGGGCCACGGCGTCCACCTCCACCATGGCCTTCTCCAAAATGCCTGAACACGGCAAGGTGGAGGCATAATTCCTGATGTACATATCCAGTTTGTTTCTAAAAATTCGATGGCCAGGCATGCCTTTAAGGATGCCCAAAATTGGCTTTAACAATTCAAATGCACTTGATAAGCTGCACAAGCTGGAATTTTCCTCCAAATAAGATTTATATGCGTCTAACACGGTTCTTCTGCTGAACGCCGTGTGTGGAGGCTTCTCATTGTAGACCAGAGGATCCGTTTGGGACAAAACGGTGGTGTTTTCCATGCATGCTCGTCCAAGCATAACCCCATTGAGGGGATTCACATGATAGTTTTGCACTTGCACATATGTTTTTTCGCTATCAAATTTGTCTTTGCTCGGTAGATAGCCATTTAACAAAGCCACAGCTTCCTCCATCGTTTTCACCCCCCCATTGAGGGTAAATTTCAAATGGGGATATAACTGACAGAGGGTGAACACTTTTTTATATTCCAATGGGGGTACAGATCTATTCTGTTTGGGGTCCAATCCTTTTAACCAGGCTTTTCTTGCGTGTACAATAAAATGCGTGCATCCTACTGAGGAAACACATTCAATAAAAGATCTCAGGAAGGGGAAAGAATCACAATCATCAACCCCTGTTCTAATTTTTACAGATACAGGAATCTGCACTTTCCTTTTAATTTCGTATACTATACTTCGTACATGTTCCGGTTTTTTCATCAAGTAAGCTCCAAAGGCTCCCTTGTTAGCTACCTTGGTACTTGGACAGCCTACATTCAAATTTATTTCATCGTAACCTGCTTGTTCCACTAGCACAGCTGCTTCCGCAAGGGACGTGGCATCAGATCCACCCAACTGGCAAACGACTGGGTGCTCATTGGCGTTAAAACCTAAGTACTCTTCTAAATTATTCAGATTGTAAAGCAATGTATTGTCTACAATCATTTCAGTCCACAATTGGGCCCTTTTTGTGATGGTCCTAACTAATGCCCGGAAGTGTCTATTGGTGACATTTATCATGGGGGCAACTTGTATAAATGGAATATTTTCATATTTTTTTTTTTCAAAAATATCGCTAACACCGGTAGATATATCTTCTAATTTGAACTGTTGCTCACCGCACAGGTGTATGCCCTCCTCCATGTTCCTTTCTATTGCTACTAATATGCTGGTCATATTTCTCCTGTATTGTTTTAATAACTTCTGGTGACGACGAATGGACTTCTTACTAAAGCAGTAAACCTTCCTCTTAGCCTTTCCACCATGCCATAATTTTTCCTTCCCACGTTTATGTAAATTCGCCCTGCTGTGGTCACCATCTAGGCAGTAGTATGCACCAACGAGAGGATGCCTTTTTTGCGTGTTCAGCTTCGGCTGCCCATGGTTGGACGGGCGCGCGAGGTATAGGCAAGCGGCGAGATCTCTGAGGGGCGCAACTCGCATTTAGCGTTCACACAACGGGTGGCTGCCGCGGCGGTAGCAGCTACCCGGGCGTCAAAGGAATGAAAAAAAAATAGGCAAAAAAGCGGGAAAATGGGCAGCCGGATAGGTGACCATGTAGGTGACCAGATAGGCGACAAGATAATTGATCAAAGTGGGAACAAATTTGGTAACGAACTTGGCAACAACATTGGCAACGGGAATGGTAACCAAATTAACAATCAAATTGGCAACCAAGCGCAAAAACAAGTCGCGGCAAAAGCAAGCAGGCGAAAAGTCCCACTTCACGCAAATCACGTGCTCTTCATTGTTGCTTCAATTATTTCGTCAATTTTTTTTTTTTTTTTTTTTTCTATATTGGCTAGTTCACAATATTTGCAAAAAAAATATGAACAAGAAAAAAAAAAAAAAAAAAAAAAAATAGCTATTTTAAAAGCCTACATAGTAAAATGTTGCTCACGGGGGAATAGGAGACCGTTTTGAAAGGGAACGGGCCATTGTGTTTTTTTCTTTCACATTTAATGGGGTAGTTTCTACTTAAAGGGGAGATATACATTTTTTCTCTTTTGTATGAGCTTCAGATACGCAAGAGGGTTGCCTGTTTTGTTATTGAATGTGACAAAAATATTGGTTGCGCCATTTTATGGGTGCCCTTTTTCCTCGTTCTATGTCATGTCATATGGCATTCGAACACCATCGTTGTGGAATGTACATTTTGAGGTGAACGTGCCAATTAAAAAGTTGAATACCCGCACGCCTACACGTTCTAATACATATCATAAACCCGCGTAGTGCATACATGTATGCATATGCATATGTGTTAATCTTTGCCGTTGCGCGTCTTCTCCCCTTTGCTTCCCCCCATTTGGACGAGCCTTAATAGGGACATGTTTGCGCACTCCAGCAGAATTGTGCTATAGTCGGTGCAAAACACTTGAGCGCTCATAATGCCACCTCTCATCGTTCGGATGTGCCTTGTGCAAAGAGGGCAATTTGTTCCAGGAACGAATGCACATGAGTACGTTTGGGTGGTAGAGTCCAATTGCTAAGCGCTTCAATGGGAGGACCCCGTCCGCCAGTATTCATACACGTCCTCAACTACGTGGCTACGATGTGCGCATTAATCTGACCCCGCTAAGGCCGAGGGAAGGGAAGTCCAATTGAGCGAAAAACAAAATACATAAAGAGGTTTGAAGCGCTCAATGTGAGAACTTCCAACGATGAGCCAAAAGGGGAACACCAAATTATATTATACTAAATGAGTATACACATAAAAAGAATGAAGCAAACACGGGGGCTCCCCAAAGTTTTACAATACATACAAATTATTTACACAATACATGTTCTCTTGACGTATAAAATTCCTGTACCTTTTGTAAACGAATCTGGTAGTAAGCACATCACAGTGCGTTATGTCGCTACTACGATCACTCATGCATGTAGCATGGGCCAGAACTGTTCTTGGGGTGACATTTAAACATACGGCGTGAGCCCAAGAAATGTAGAACCAACGTTCTAAAATGTTCACACCGTGCGGTTATCATTTGTATATATGGGAGTTTTTAAGAGGCAAGGTATTAAGTTTTTTTTATTTTATTTTTTTTATTCACTGATCCTACCTACGTGTGGTGTGCTAACACATCAAGTCACATAAGTGCAATGAGCAGCAAATGCGAGTGGTGTGTGACGATGCGCATTGTTGTTTTTTTTATACCTTTATTTTAAGATGGAACTCCTTTAACGTTAAAGAGGTATGCTTTCACATGAAGTAAATTGAATAAGCGTAACAGTTGGCACATTTTTTAAGTTGTTCCTCACCTGTATCTTTTTTTTTTTTTTCCAATTCGATAAGGAGAGAAAAAAAAAGTACACTGCATTCTTCGATTCCTCGATATGTTTTTTTTTTCTTCTTTTTTTTTTTTTTTTTAAACTATTGGTGGTATGTAAAAAGTGAATCTCAAAGCTTTATCATGAGTTGTTCAAAGGAATGGCCTTCTTCCTTTTCGCGCTCTCTCCTGTGCGCTAATTCTGTGAATTACAAAATTTTTTCTTCTTCGTCCGGCTAAGTACACAGAATGATGAACAGACTTGGAGGAACATAAGCAAGCCTATTTATGCAAAAGTATACCTACATGTATATATATATGTAGAATAATATATACCTGGTTCGTATTAAATTTTTGGGTTAAGAACACCTTCGAAAATAAAAAGGAGCGCTAGGACGCACACTCTTCTGCATTTTAAGCGTTCCAGATTTATTTAACAAAATATAGCTTTTTCGGTTCATTAATTTTTTTAATAAAAGAAAATTGTAACATTAACTTTAAACATTAACTTTATCTTTATTATTACCTGTTTTGTTTTGTTTTTTTTTAATTTCAAATGACCAGCTCTTATGCCCTCTTTCTTTAATTTATCGCGTTCATCCTTCTTTCGTTCAGCTGTAACACGCAGGTAAGTACATAAATGTATATTAAGCATATATATATACATACTTGCGAACGCTATTTTGTGCGTGTTTTTTCTTTTACGTTTTCGAACATACGATTTTATGCCCTCATTGATACAAACGATAGCCAAGAAAGGTCAGTCGTGTTTAAACACATCATAGGGTGTACAAAAACTATGCTGCTGTTTTGACGCGCATTTATATGTCGTAGCATAAATCAAGTAACCTTTTTTTTTTTTTTTTAACGCCTATAAAAAAAAAGCTTGGTGTTTCTTTCTGAACTTAAAAACACAGAAGGAAAGGCCATCATCCATGTAGGAAAGGCGCGCAAGCAATTTTCTTGGGATCCAATTTTTATAAAAAGCGTGAGTTCTTTTCATTCTGATTGTATATTCATTTTGGATGTTCCTTCTGCATATACCCTGTTGGCAATCCCACTGACAATCCAACTTGCACTCCCCCCTGTGTTCGTTTTTTTTTTAAACGCCGAGGCCCACCAACCATCGCAGCACACCTGTGTGTACCTCTCCCTCAGTTTCGACGCAAGGGAAAAAACGCGCATCGTTTTGTTTACCAGTCCAGCAAGCTACTTTTTCGCGCGGTCTTAATCCCAAGGGAATAAAAACAAACACAAGCGTGTGAACGGGAAGTTAAGGGATAAAACGCGAATAAAAAAAAAAAAAAAAAAAAAGGACCCTGTCTGTACATGCATATTCATACGGCAGAGGGACCACGTGTATATATGCACATACACATATACATACGTAAAATTTACACGCTGTTATACACTGTTCCGCGAGCACAAAAGCGCAGACTCCTGATAATAGTCTTATTTGTTTTGCAAATCCCCGCAAAAAAAAGAATAAATTTCCCGCATGGTAGCTGTGTATTAACAAAAAAAAATGTTTTGTAACCGCGGCATGGAAGCAATGATCTGTTTGGCTATATAGCTGTTTTTTTTTTTTTTTTTTTTTTTTTTGAAAAAGTTATTTCTGACCACGTTTATTTCGAACTTTCCTGCGAATTCGTTCCATCTGTGTTGAGAAGCATTTCCACACAAGCGCAACGGGTTACGAAAAAGGAAAAAAAAAAAAAAAAAGGACAACGATTGATTGGATAGAAGCAATCGCCAAAAGAGCAGTCGCTCGATGGTTACCAAAAGGAAGGAATAAAAAGCAGGACTGTTTTGAGAGGTGTACACGCCTTTACAATAAAGTAAAAAAAAAAAAAATACATATACCATAAAATAAGGCACAAAGTTACAGAAGCCCAAAGGTACGGAAGCACAAAGATAGACAAGCAGAAAAGGAAGACAGGAACAAAGAAAGGGAAGCACAAAAGTAGAGGAATACGCAAACTCAACCCTCCTCATTGGCAAGCCGGAAAAAAAAGCGACGCCACAGTGAGACAGCAAATTTCTGAACCTACTACCCTCCATGCATGGAAAAAAAGTAAAACCCAATCAACCAAATTGTTGTATACGCAAAAACTGACTCCTTATCGAAGAAAAAAAAAAACTTTTTAAAAAAAAAAAAAATAAAATAAAATAAAATGGGATTCCTCAAAGTTGGAACACCATTAAGTTGGGAGGAAGTGGAGAAAGTAAAATCTCTAATCAGGTTATATGGCATACTACAGTTTGTTCATACGTACAAATGCAACAAAGACCGAGTGGACGAGAACATTATGTTTGGGGACGAAATAGAATACATCGTTATTCGAAATGATGAGAATATTGAAGAATCTTCTGCTCTCTTATGTGCAACAGATTTAATTGATGAAATGATGAACTTAGAAAGTGTCACCTATTGTCAATATGGATCTCATTGGACTCCAGAATATTCCTCTTTCACCATTGAAGGAACACCTTCCGTTCCGTTCAAATTTGATATAAATTCATCACCCTTTGTTGAAGATTCCATGCGCATAAGGAGAATGAAATTGAACAATGTCCTTAGTGCCATTACGGGAGTGCGGGCCATCACTTTGCCATGCTTCCCAAACGCGCTCCTAGAGAATAGCCTTCTTATGGCCAAAAGGATTACCCAAGAAACGGGTAAGAGGAAGGGGGACAGGGGGAGAGGTGTTGTTTCAGGTGGAGACACCTTGGACATGCCAGGAAGCGAACATGTTAAACACAAACTAGCGGAAAAGGAACAGGCAGAGCTGGTCAGACAGGTCATCACGCAGGGAGAATACAAAATTACTCTCAACGATAGCACCCAGACTTATGCGGACGAGGGGAAGTCGACCCAGTTTGTAAACTCGGATGTGATTGCCACAAAGAATGAGGACTCGTTAATGCAGGAAATGTGCGGGGACGACGTGGGCAGCGCGGACCAGGCGGATCAGCCAGATCAAGCTGACCAACCGGACCAATCGAATGAATCATACCAAATGAATCAGGCGACCCCACCGAACCAACCCATCTTCATCAACGAGACCAAGGAAAGCCTGCTCTTCGAATGCGACCTGTTCAAACCTGAGCAGACAAACAATAATAGCAACAGCTGCCTCATCACCGACATGGTGATCAGTCCGCATGCCAGGTACGTCACTCTAACTAAGAACATAAGAAAACGCAGGGGGACGAAAGTCATTTCATTTAACGAAATATACAAAGATGAGAACACGGAGAAGATGCCCAGGTGGAAACACTCACTGGACAAAACGGATAAGAGACTTTTTAAAAAAATAAAAAAAAAGTACGTCCTCGATGAGCACTTGATTTGGAACAAGTCTATGACGAACAGAAAAAGAGTAGAACCTGTTGGCTCGAATTTTCTTCCCAAGGAAGTAGAAGCGTCCGAAGTGCGTGCCTGTAGGGAGGAGGACGCTCTGCCCGCTCCAGACAATCTGATCGATCAAGTGATAAAAAATAGCTTATTCAGTAACCTGGACGACGAGAAGGATCACATTTACGTATACGACCGGAAGTTTATTCAGGAGTATTCAGAAAAGTGCAAGAACCCAATTAAGAATTATGTGTACCTAGACGCCATGTTTTTCGGAATGAGTATGTGTTGTCAGCAGGTTACCATGTCCTTTCCAAGCATAGATGACGCGAAGTATTTATATGACCAGCTAGCTGTTATCGCTCCCTTATTCTTAGCCCTAACAGCCTCAACCCCTTATTTAGGAGGCTTTCTCACAGAAACGGATACTCGATGGAGAGTCATATCAAATTCTGTTGATTGCAGAACAGAAGAGGAACTGGCATATATTTCCAAGCCAAGATATTCAGGCATATCTTTATACATATCGAATGAGTTACCACTGAGGAAGAATTACCACTTTTATAACGACATAGATGTGGTGCTGGATAAGAATGTGTATGATAAATTGGTGAAGGAAAATGTGGATGATTTTTTAGCTAGACATGTTGCCTCTCTTTTTGTTAGGGACCCCATCGTGGTCTTTGAGGGGTCCTACAGTGAGAAGGATATACAGTCGATTGAGGAGAGGATGAGTAGGTTTGGTGGTCGAATGGGTGTAGAGGAGTCTTCCCCCACGGATAAGGGTGCCCTGCCCGGAAGAAATTCCGCCACTCCTCTCTCCAGTAGGGTGAACAGTAACCCCATCAACGGCGTGTACCTGAGCGACGACTTCACCTTTTTGGAGGACTACGAAGAGACGGTATTATCCTCCCATCAGCACTTTGAGAATTTCCAAAGCACCAACTGGAACAGCGTGCGATTTAAGCCGCCACCCATCCAGAACAACCACTGCAATGGGCCAAGTTCCATAGGATGGAGAGTAGAATTTCGTACACCAGATGTTCAGATCACCGACTTTGAAAATGCATCTGTCGTTACCCTCATCATGGTATTATCTAAATTTATCCTAAAGGAAAAATTGAACCTTTACATTCCCATGTCGATGCTGGAGGAAAATCTGTTCCGTTCTGCTAACAGAGATGCCATCTTTAAGGAAAAATTTTACTTCAGAAAAGATTTATCTTATGACACGGATGATAATCAAGTGGAGGAAAAGACTTTGTATGATATTTTTTTTAACGACCACAATGGTATTTTTTTTCTTTGCTCCAAGTACATTGAGGAACAGTTCCGTGAAGGACAACTTTCCCATGCAGCTAAAAACAAAATAGATGAGTACATTGAATTTGTAAAGCTTAGATGTGCAGGGAAAATATGCACAGGTGCTGCTTACTTGAGAAATTTTATTTTGAATCACCCAGCGTATGAAAAGGATTCATACATAAATAGCAGAATTAATTATGACATTTGCAAGCTCATTGCGGATATAGGGAAGGGACTTATAATTCCACAGGAACTGCTTGGCGTGTTTGTGGACCCTTACAAGGAAAGAATAAAGAGTGATTTGCGACAAATTAATGAAAGCCAGTATGTGAAGAGCTTGGCTTATAAGTTCATTTCCGGGGAGGACTACACACAATACCTGTTGCTGAGTGAGGCCATTAAGGACGGCCAGGATTACTACACCTGTACACGGCGCACCAATTATGAGGAGTCCATGGAAAACAACACGCTGGAGTTTGGGAAGAAGCTCTACCAGCTCAGCGCCTAGTGTGTCATGTCGTGGTCGCGTTTTTTTTGTACCCTCCTTTTCGTTGCACCGTTCTTTTTTTTTTCCTCCTTTCCACCGCGCGGATTTTGTGGAAAATGAACTTTTTTTTTTTTTTTTCAATTTTTGTTTCCATAAAAACCCAAGTGACATGTGTGTGAATTTCTTAAATGGTGAAAACGTGATAAAAAAAGGTGGTAAAAATTGCAGTTGCGAAAAAAGGGGCCAATGTAAGAGGCACCGTTGAGGCATAGCAGGAATGGAAAAAATGTGACGAGTGGGATCGGTAAAAAAGGTGCACGTTGGTGATGTGGATAGGTAGTGTGAACATTGGGATGGTCGTACGAGGGACGACATAGTAGGGGTGGTGGTATAGCCAAAAAGAACAAGAATAAAAATCCCCTAGTCATCATTCTCGTCGTCCTTCCCATCATCATCTCCATCCATATCATCATCATCTTTTTCATCATCGTCGTCCTTATCGTCTTCCTCATCCTCCTCCTCCTCATCATCATCTTCATCCTCATCATCCTCATCATCATCATCTTCATCATCGTCATCGTCAAATTCCTCATCAAAATCTTCATCGAAATCATCAAAATCTTCCAGACCAAGATAATAGGACAAGGGGTTGTGCCAAATTTCTCTTCGTATCAACTCCCCCACATCTGGTTTATCTTGTAACTCCTCTGTGGTAAACCATTCGAAGATAGACCACTTAGGCATTTCATTATCTAGGTCAGATCTATTATTGGATACAGCTGCTATGGGATTTTTTCCATCCTTCCATTTTATTCTAGTACACTCCACAACTTTCTCCTGATTATTATCAAATGTGACATGCTTCACAAGGGTTAGAGGTTCCATGTATTCCTTTGCCTTTTCATTAAAAGTGAAAGTAATTTTGTATGACCCATTATTGTCCATGTTATCCTTCAAATCTAATTTCACTAAGCAGTTTAAAATGTCAATATCCTCTGGTACTATATCGCTTAGTGCAGGATGTTTCCTTAGGGTGTTGGCCCAGAAGCCTGGAACCTTTTCAATTATTTCGTCTCTCTTTTCAAATAAAGGTTTCTTTTTCTCGTCATACTGCTTCTGAATGTTCATCTGCTCGTGCGCACACTTGATGTCCAGTTGCTCGATGTCCTTTTGGACTGCAGGGGGTGGGGCGGATGGGGAAGTGAAGTGAATGTAACACCGTTGGAGGGGGACATTGTGAGGGAATGCGCTTACGCAGCGTTACAGTGCACACAAACACGACCCTCACGGGGATAACAAAAAAAAAAAAAAAATGTTTACTGTCTTCGAAATCCTTCATGAACGGTATGAGGGGGTCATCATTTTCGATTTTTCTGCACAAGGGGAGGGGCGGACAAAATGTGGATTTACCATGTGGTGCAGCATCGGGGCGATCACTCTATGCTCACGTAAGCGCAATGTAATGGCTGGACGGGCACATGGAGGGAGACACACACCCCACTTCTCCACATATCTCTTCGTCCGCACATCTCATCCTCAACGCGTTACTACACAGCTGTCTTGCGCTAACGCCAAGTGTGCTGATCTGCGTTTTGTCGTGAAGTAGCCCCTTCGCAACGGCCAGCTTCACCCAATTGGTATGGCGCCCTAGCCCAAACAACATTGCGTCCCAGTGGGGGCTCACTCCGCATATGGGCCGTATAACGACGCGCATAGAAACGCTTGCCAAAGCGACACACACTAATTGTGCCTCTCACATGGACGTGTGTGTGCGGGTGTGTTATAAACACTGGGCATATGGCCCGCTCAAAAGGAACAGGAGATGGGGGCCACACTTACGAGTGCTTAGGGTCGGATGTATTTTCAACTGAATTCTCGGAGCGATCTCTCTTCATTTTTGCCTTCTCTATTTTTGATGTGTGCTGTTATAAAAGGGTGAAAAAATCTACCTATGACTGCGTGTAATATTGTTGCATACGCATGTACGTATATGTACCTATCTTGTGTATGGAAGTCAATGGAGATAAGTATTCATAACGCATCAAATAAATTCTCGCGATGGTCACTTTAAATGTGAAACACAGTGTGAGTAGGGAGAGGAAACGCGCGTTTCGCTTTGCCGCAATAATATTTTAAAAGAAAAAAAAAAAAAAAAAAAAAAAAACACACATAAAGTAAAAAAGCAAATAAAGGGAAAGTACCAAGCTACAACACTGTGCGAAAACTAACGTTCACATTTTTTGCAGCTTATGGGGTAAGGAAACAAAATAAAAGGTTTATATTTCTTATATAATGCGGGGGTAGGCAAAAAAAAAAAAAAAAAAAAGATTGCACTGCGACTGCTTATAATGACGTATGTACTAGAATGCTCATGTATATATATACATAATATATTTATACGTAACACATATACATTTGTGTAATATAATTATGTATGCGGAGAGTGTACATTTGTGGCAAGCCTTAAAAATGAAACACCGCTCATGTCGCTACGGCTTAATGGCACTACATAGGTGCACCAAGAAGAGTATCCATATATATATATTCCATAAGCCTTATACCCGGGCCTGCGCATAAATGTTTGGCGCCGCCTATGCACAAGTATAGTCATTCCCCCGTAAAAAGCGCATGAAGAAGGGGGGAGGGGTGGCTCCACGACAGAGAACCCGTTGTGCCGTACCCGTTAAGGCACAAAGCGGCATGTGCAAGCATAAACGGGTCTCAATCTATGCATACACAAGTTGAGTTTGTTTCTCCCTCGGTGTGGCCCATAACTACGTGGCGACCTCTCCTTGGCGAAACGTCCTCATCGATTTGTTTTCACCAAATTGGGTATATATGTATGTACGCATGCACCCACCAGTTATTGATGGGGCAATTGTCATCGCACTGTATTGCATTCCTTCCACCCCACCCCATGAGGACGAACTCACTTTAACTTTTGGTGAGAAGCATATTCCACTATGTATGTGTATAAATATTGACGGTACTCCCCCCAGCTCCTAATTCTCTGTGTTTTCTTTTTTTTTTTTATTTTTTGGGTTTCTTGTTTTTTTGTTTTTTCTTTTATGTGGCATGAAGAGAGAATACATAATGGCTAGCGGAGGGCGCCTTCCGCACGCGCACTGAGTAAATAACCACTACACATGCGTCCTAAATGATCTTTTCTCATTTTGTAAGAACATTGGTGCAACGCCAAAGGTATGTAATTCATGTGAAGGCTACGCCGTAGGGGGGCGCTGCCATGAAGCACACTGCAAGGATAACTTTATAGCACCTTACGACGGAAGACACCGAAACAGGTAGTCTTCTTTAGCTCGTTCGTGATGTGCTGCTCTCGCACAGGGGGTGGAAGGGGAGTAGGACAAAAGTCACAACACTCATGTATTTTTGCTGTGCATAACATGGAGGACCACGTGTCTGGGCAGCGAGGACGGCAAGCACTCGTGGGGGTGAGTGAGGATGCCCGTTGACCTGGACCCTACCAGTTCGACACAGTTTGCTCAACCTGGTCACATCAAGGGTTGTAAAAAAAAATGCAAGTGTACATTGGGGCAACTGGGCAAACGAGAGTTGGGACGACACATCATCGTTGTGCTTGAGCAGCGCTTATGCATTACCTGGTTGTTGCTTACGGGTTTTAATATTTGTCCTTGAGTTTTTTCCTTCCTTACGTGTTGCTTCTATACAGATGGAGTGGTACCTTGCACCTTCCGGTGGTCTCCCGTTTTTTTTTTTTTTTTTTTTTCAATGTATGTACAAACAAGACTGCGAAAGCACACTTGGTGTGTCAATTCCGTGGGTAGGAGATGCACAAAAAAAAAAAAAAAAAAAAAAAAAACTACACACGTTTGCATATGTACATTTGTGTACTCTTATATATATTCACTCACATAAGGATACACGTACTGCGCGTGAAGGTGTTTGACATGACTTTTTTTTTTTTTTTTTTTTCTGTGTTTTTCACGTGTGTTTATATGTATGTGGGTTTGCGCGTGAATATACAAGTGTCTGCTTCTTTAAAATGGTAAAACGCTGTCCCCTTTAGAATGATATATATGTTTTTTTTTTAACACAAAAGCGGGAACAAATTATATTTGCAAAATAGGCGAGAAGAGAAAAGAAGGAAAAAAAAAAAAAAAAAAAAAACCAATGAGACAAATGTAGACACTACATAAGTATGGGAAAAAGCGAAAGAGAAATGTGTAAATGTGTATAAATGCGTTTATTTTATTATTATTTTTTTTTTTTTAATTTCCATCCTCGTTACGTCTACTCCATGGATGAAATGTGTCCCACGTGTACAAACGGAGATAGCGAACTTTTTTGAGTAAAAAAAAAAAATGGGAAGAAAAAATTGATGAGATAACTTTTGTCCTATGGCGTCTCACCGTGAGGAAAAGCGACATGGAAAGATTTAGCGAGTTCGAAGCAATCGGTTCGCTTCGCAATTTGTGTAAATGCAAGTAATTTTTATGTGCATTTCTTACGGTGCCACAATAGGTTTTGTGTATGTCTGTGTGGGTTTCCCTTTTTTGGGTCAGTTTGCTTGGGAAGTGCGTGCTTGGACAGGGGAGAGAAATATTATGCCCTTTCGCGATACTGCAGTTTTGCTCTTTTTTTCCCCTATGCGATTTTTTATTTTTTGTGGGAACGCATTTCCACACGTGGGGGATGCATCCAAAGTGAGGCTTTTAAAGAGAGGCTTTTTTTTTTTTTTTTGCCCAAACAGCCACACACATTTATGTATATTTGCCGAGCACTCCCTTTGAATGCGCACACGACTTCGGATCCACGCTGTCCATGTGGGAACAACAAAATGGACTTGTCCCCTGCGTACATCCAGAGCAGTTTAAAAAAAAAAAAATAAGAATCGTCTTGTTTATTTTATTTTATTTTATTTTATTCTTTTTCAAACTGTTTACTCATTCATGTGATGTCATTTATAGTAGAACAGAAAGGCCACATAATTCGTGGTTGCTTCGTTGTCGCCACGTGGGGATAAATATAGGGTCGATTTTGTGGTGAGGCTTCCCATCCGAGTCCCCCTCGAGGGAAAGGATTGCGCTAGCCCACTAACATACACGAAGAATTCCACCCCTTCCACTTCGATTTCAAAACAGGGTATCTTATCTTTTTTTTTTTTTTTTTTTTTCCACAAGGGGTTCATTATGTAAACATTGGCGTGGTCAAAATTGGTACATATAGGGCAGGGGGAATAAATACATTGTGTGTTCTAATTGGACAAACATTGTTTGGTGGGCAAAAGAATGAGGGGTGTAGCTGAAGGGTGTGCTATGGGCGGGAGGGGGCTGCACAAACGATGAACACGTTTTAAAAAGCAACTCGTTCGTCACTGTGTTTTAACGCGGGGGTGCTACCGAGAGGACTTGGCAATACCTGGCTACGCGAGTACGTACCTAGGCATGAGTGCGTGCACATATACATATGTATATTTTTATTTTGTCCCTTTACACCTCTTCTTTATTCATGCGAACAGTCGGAAAATATACCTCTTATCTGGTTTTAAACTTCCACCAGGGGTTCCCATTTGTGCGCCATCTCGTCCAAGCCTTACGCATCGAACATACATAAGTCTATGCATACGCGTATATACACGTTACTATACATACCCATTTCGCATGGCTCGTGTGGGTATGATGCGTTTGCTTTCTGCTTGATACACTGGGCAAACTTGGCAAAAGCATCGCATAGCTTTTTTCCCCAATGGGTTTTATTCACCAAGTATTAACTCCATTAATGCTGGTAAAAAAAAAAATAAAATAAAATAAAAAAATAACTGGCACATACTTTACCGTATTGTTATTATCCATAAGCCACCAGCTCGAACCTCACTTATTGTCCCTCCTATTTTAATTCTTAAAAAAAAAAAAAAAAAAAAAAATATTCCGCTTGTCCCCTAACTCGGTACACGCCAAAAAGTCAAATGCGTCATTTGACAAACGAACAGCCAGAAGCACATACGCCACCCAGGGAATAAATGCACGAACCGGAAAGCATCCCAAATCAGCCAAACAGGAAATAGCCATGCAATGAGGGGGAAAATCCGCTATACATCAATGCACAAAAAAACGGTCAAACCGTGTACAGGCAATGTGCAGGCCACGAGTTCATCACTGCAACGATTGATGAACACCGCTATATATACATGATCAAGCAAATATGCGATTATGGTCATAAGCCAAACGCCTCTTTATAATCATACAACATTTTTTGCGACACGCCAATTCGCGATATGCCTTTTTTTTTTTTTTTTCCGCTTGTTTGCATTCGCATAAGTTCGTATGAACACTTTTCCAAGCTACATTTCTTCCTTGCCCTTTTGACGTTTCTTCTCCAACGATGCGGAGTTTCTCTCCTTCGCCCTTTTGTAAATTAGAAGAATGACTACCAAACTGTTCCAGTATTAAGTCCTCATCTATACAATTCAAAAACGAGCAAAAGATCACCCTCATTCGTCATTTGAAAAACACGTGCCCTACGCGGAAAGGGGAAAAAACGGAACACGCGGAAAAGCGAATAGAGACCGGCAGGCACTAAACCGCAACTGTAGCTAATGCCGAGAATACGATAGAACTTGCAACCCCCCAAATAGAGTTAAAGAAAATAATAAATTCATTTTAGAAATGCTAAACGATATTATATTTCAAGTTATAATTGCTTCTTTTGGAGTCACCATAGTCAACAGCGATAAAATAAAATTTCTTCAAAAGTTCAGTAAGCAACGAGGAGACATCATGCGTCGCTACTAGAGTGTTATGCGATTGTGCAGAGTTCCCAGATCTGCTCGGCCTTGGACAGTGGGAGTCCGTGAGGGCGGGGAACTTGAGTTTGTCCCCTGCCCGCATCCTTTTTTTTTTTTTTTTTTCTTCTTTGTTACAATACGTGTGCAAATGGGCGAGCACCGTGTTGGAGTGGAGGCGTGTTTATTTTATGTCCATTCTCGTTGAATGGCCTACGACCCGCTCGCGTCGGAAATACAGGCGACGTAGGACCATACATTTGCATATGTATATAACTATATGTTTGTATTTTTTTTTTTTTTTTTTTCCAGGATATGCCATCTACGTTTTAATATTGTCCTTCTTGCTATACAAGGGAATACCCTGGAAGAGGGACAATTTCTACACCTATTTGAACATCACGCCCAATGCAACGAAGCAGGAAATACAGACCGCCTACAGGCAGGCGGCGAAAATATATCACCCCGTAAGGATGCATGCTATACGTCCAAAGGACGAACGAATAGAGAGAGGGGATTGGGCTAAGGGCGTCATTAAGACGATGTGCCCACGTGTTCATTTGCGCTCGCCCGAATATTTTCCTTTCCCATATGATTGACTTTCGCACCACTACGCCCCCTGTTTGCAGGACAAAAACCCGGACGAGTCGGCCGACTCCTCATTTATAAAGTTAAAACAGGCATACGACATCTTGACTGATGACATGAGGAGGAGCAACTACAACCGATTTGGGGACTACAAGAATGGTAACGTCTGCGAGGCGATGCGTTTAACCACCAGTTGTGTGTGTAACAGATTGGAGATGCGTGTACCGTTCAGCTAGCTGGCTAGCTTTTTTTTTTTTTTTTTTTTTTTTTTTTTTTTTTTTTTTTTTTTT